CGTGAGAGGATATGCCCTGCACCCGTATCTTCGCAGGTGAGCTAGGCCTGGAGCCGTGGTTCGAGCAGCAAGACCCTTGGAATTGAGCCAGTCGTTCAGCTTTCCTTCTGGTGTTGCCCACTGCAGGCGCCCCTTCGGCGTGAGGTTGTGGAGATATGCGGCGGCTTGTACCACCTCTGGCCACAAATCCTCCGGGAACCCGGCAGCCGAGGTAAGGGTTCGTGCAATGGTGAATATCGTGCCTCCGTTGCGTTCTGCAGCACCGTTCTGTTCTGGTGTCCTGGCGGCTGATCTCTCCAAGAGGATGCCGCGCTCTTCTGACCAAGTAACCAGATTGCTGCGTAGTGCCGAGTCCCAGTCAACTCTCAGGACCTTGATGACCAACTGGTACTGTCTCCATAAAAACATCTCAAAGTTGATAAATGCCTGGAAGCCATCTGCTCTTGCAGGTAGAATCCTGACAACGATCTTCCCCGAGTAGGCGTCTGTGATTACGAGACACGACTCCATGCCGTTGTATGACCTTCCAGGGCTGAAAAAATCCAGGTTGACGCGCTCGAATGGATCCGTCGTCGTGTACGTTGGCTGTCTCCGAGACACAATTCTCTTGGATTTTGCTACCCCGCAAGACTCGCACTCGAATGTTGTTGGCCCCTTTACCCCAACTCCAATACAGCTGTATTGCAGCTGCTGTATGGCCTCTGGGTGGGCGTGAGCCAGCCGTTCGTGCCAGAGCCTCGAGTCGCTGACCATTGCGGCTCTCTGCTTCTTGGAGTGATAGAAGGAAGTGATGCTGTGTAGAGTGTTCACTGCATACTGGCCACCCTTCTCCTGCAGTGGGATCTCTGAGCCACTGGCTGGGTTGAACAGCATGCTCCTGAGCGAGTCCAGTCCGAGTCCTTGACGCTGGAGCTGCCTGGCTGAAACGAGCGTTGTTGGGTAGTCTCTGATGTACGAGACATCATGACAGGTGATTCTGATGACGTTCTGCTTGCTGTCGAGAGTTTCAATGGTCATCGTGCCATACCCTTCGACAGGGTTTGATTTGCCTCCCCCCGTTCTGTACCTTACAGTGTCGGTGGCCTCACGGAAGCTGCTAAGGAGGTCTTTGTTGTTGGTAATGTGGTTGGGTGTGCCCGAATCGATCAAGAACTCGTGACGGAGATCCCCTCCTCGGGTAGTTTGCTGAAACTCGTCTGAATCGGCTAGGGAGAAGTTGCTCATGTAGTTGGTGTACTCGCCCTCGTAGCTCCGGGCATCGTCATTACTGAAGGAATTGTTGAAAGCAGAGACTGCGGCCCCGCTAGTGCCTTTTGCCTCTTGTTGCTTCTTTTTGTCCTCCTTGATTTTCTCATTCCAGAATTGCAACGTGCTTGGCTTCATCCCTTTCTTCGCTTCGTCAATGTAGTCTAGCAGGCTCTGGTCGGGTTGATAGCTTTTCTTCCTCCGGTGTTCTGCGATATTTGGGCACAGACAAATGGGCTGACACGCCTTGGGTGCCCTCTTCTGCTGTACACAGTCGCAGAACAATCTGCGAGCCGGCAGGCTGTTTGACTGTTGAGGAGAGTCGCGAGGGGAATCCTGGACACTCCTTTGAGCACTTTGACCGTTCCGATCCTTGCCTATAAAGGTCGCCGAGTCGTTGTAGAAGGACGTCTGAGAAGTTTAGTGGTGAGGCGATGTGGCTGGTAGTCTCTGAGGTAGCTCTTGTACCTCAGCGCCAGTACCTTCCCTCCATCACGATCGTCTAGCTCCCGGCGAACTTGGTGGGCGCACTCTGCTTCGGCCCACCCTGGAGACACGGAAAAGAATTGCCCGAAGGAATTGGATATTCTGATCTGCGGCTTCTTTAAGCTGAGGAATCCCATGCTTCTCAACGTCGATACAGAGCAGAATGAAGTCGTCAACCCACTTCTCGTGGTCCATCTTCTTGATCATCGACATATGCTCCTCCCAGCGTTGACGAATGTATTGTTTCTGTCCCATGTCGGAAGGGGCGAAATGGTCCTTTAACGCCTTGAGCCATTCTTGGCTGCTTTCCTCGTTCATGAAGACGGCCGAAAGGCTCCTGTCGACTGTGTTGAGGATGTATTTCTGGACCTCCTGGAGGCCCGCTGACTCCCTGTTGTAGATGTCCAAATGGATCTTGTACAACGTCAGCTGTGTGCTGAGATCTCTCGTCTCATCTTCGAGCGATGGGGCTGTTGGCTTCTTGGCCCTCAGAGTCCATCTTGAGGGGGCCCGGGGCGTTGTCGGAGACAGTCGGGGAGGTCGTTCGATGGTCGCGACTGATCGCGTGTATGTTGGATGTCGTCAATTGACCCCGCGTGCATTCAGGCCCTTGGCCGCACGGCTCAGAGGCGCAATTGGATGTCGAGGAGCTCACTTCTCCTGCTTCGACAGGTCGTAGAGAGGTGATTGCTCTCCTGGAGGATGATGGTGATGGCCCTTGGCCGGTTGTCGTCAATGGCGAAACGTCCGCGTCGATTGACTGTTGAACTGCAGCGGTGATCCAGCTGTAGACCGCTCCGCAGCAGGCGTACTGGCCGTGGTCCCGATCTGGGACCTTGGCGCCCTGCTGTACGTATCGAAGGTCAACGAGCTGGATCGTCGCCCGGGCTCATAACTGTCACCACGAAATTGAACAAAGTGGATTGATTGTTGTTGTTATGGTACAAAAGGAGACTTTCCTGCAGTCACTCCCGGACGACCATTGGCCAGTTGCCAATAACCGTAGAACGGATTGAATACTACCGGGGCGGTAGCTAGAGAATGAATGCATCAAATGAGGATCCTGCAGACCCACAGGTGTAAGTACCCCTGGGGTCGCAGAAAGGACCATGCCTGATCGGCAACACCATATCCAGCTGGAGTATTATGGCGTAATTGCATACCAATATATGTACATCATGCGCATCCTCACAATGGTCTGGTACGTTGCCAGGATCAGGTGAAAGCACCGTACGCAACCCGTCATCGACAGATTGATACTCAAGGAAGGCAAACAGACGAGCGGTAGTCAAATGTTGCCTTATGCTTCAGCTGATGAGGTAATTGAGGAGTACGCCATCAGCTAATCTTTTCTCTAGAATCACAACTCGGGTTGTCTGTGTCTTCGCCCTCGTCTTCATCCTCGTCCTTTTTCTCGTCTTCATCCTCGTCTTCGCTCTGGTCTTCGCTCTCGTCTTTTTTCTCGTCTTTTTTCTCGTCTTCATCCTCCTCTTCGCTCTCGTCTTCATCCAGTCTGTCGTGTATGTACGGACCAACGTCTACTAGAGACCCCTGTTGCGAGCAGGCGTCTAGCCAATCATGGTTGACAAAGGAGACGTTGGGGAACCGCGAGAAGACAGCTTGTGGGAGCTTGTTGTAAATCGCTGGTGAGGCCACAAGATGAGTAGTATCCGTCGAAATACTAGGTAATAATACCCCTCCAAGATGACCAACTTCTTCCACGAGCTGCGCCTGGGTCAGATAGGGGGACTTGTCGGCTATGACAATGCCACAGTTATACAAAGGCCTTCTGGGGTCGAATCGAGTAGCAGTCGTTTCTTCCTCACTCTCCTCACTCTCTTCCTCAACTTCTGCCTCACTCTTGCCTTCCATCTCTTTTTCGACCTCTTTCATCAAGAGAATGTCGAAACTACCGAGTAAGACAGCGATATGACCACAGTATTCCATACGCTGTGCCTCACTCTCGCTCTCTCTCTCTTGCTCGACCGCTGTCAGCAAGAGAGAGCGGAACATACCAAATAATGCAGCGATAGTATCACTGTATTCCACACGCTGTGCCTCACCCTCTTCTTCACTTTCGTCCTCACCTTCCCTGACTCCCTTCCCTCACTCTCTTCGTCACTCTCGTCCTCACTCTCTTCCTCTTCTTCACTCTCTCCTCTACTCTCTTGTTCACTCTCTTCTTCACTTTCTTCTTCACTTTGTTCTGCACTCTCTTCTTCACTCTCTTCTTCACTCTCTTCTTCGCTCTCTTCTTCACCATCTTCTTTACTCTCTTCATCTTCCTCACACAGGACCCATCGTTCTTGAGAAAGGTGATATTCAAGGGGGTCCAGAAAATAGCCCGCCTGATATGAATCCTCAAGCCAGTCGAAGGAGACAACAGACCCTCCCTGCTGTTCTATCTCGAGGCTGGTATGATAAAGATCTCGATATAGATCCTTAGAGATGCACAAGACGGTAGCCGTCGCGAAGTCCCGTTTGTGGAACGTCCCACCTAAGCTTCGGATCACCCGTTTGACATCCTTGAGCGTCATTTCAGCGGGTAAGGGGTAGCTGATTGCAACGTTGAAGGTCTGCGTCATGGTGATATGGTGTGCTGTACGGGGCTGGATACGGTGTGGTTGCGTCGATCGCGTCTGAACGTGTGCCAGTTGTGTCTCAAGTGAGCCGTGCCCCGTCTCTTATACTGGTCTGCCACCAAATAGGTGTGGATGCGTCATCTGGCCTGATCTACATGTCTGATTTCGCATGAAGAGCTCAGGGTTTGATGATTCATTTCTAAGAGGTCAATTCTCGGATTCCAGGTACGCGCCTGCTCGCTAGTCAGGGGACTTTGTCCTGTGTGTCCTCACAATCAACTTTGAATTCGAAGTAGCCTCTGTCACGTGGTGTTATGTTGTCGGAAGCGAACATTGGACACCGACAAATGGCAGTCGCGCGACCAGCATTCCATTCTGGCACTGAGGTGGGGCCGTCAGCCAGCTGGGATCGTCATCACTTGTGATCGGCCAACACACGGTGTCACCATCATTGGTCATTGGTGTTTCATACAACTACGGGGGAGTGGTGGAGTATTGCCACATCAGACTGTATTGGGAATCATAGTGTACATACGCCATAGAACTCCAAAAACTCCTCGTGGTCAAGTGGCTCACCACTGAAACGTACAGATACAACAAGCGCCAAGCTGCGCAGGAGGGAAGTACACCTGAAAGCAGCGG